AATTGAGAGATGGGCGGAACGCCATAATCTCACCTGTCTGATTGTGGGCGAGCCAACGCATCGAGCCGGAAACACGCTGGATCTTGCCTGGACCAACATCAACGGGGCCCAAGCATGGGTGGGTCGCAGCGAGTGTATAACCAGCGACCATCTTCCGATTCGAGGACAAGTCCCCACCGGATGCGGAAAATGGGACCAGGAGCCATCGCCGATTAGGGTAACGCGCGGAAACTTTCCGAGGTTCTCCCTTGCCGTGGCGCAATTCACTCACCCGCCACCAGTGTTGGACTCGGTTTGCCAGCAGCAGGAACACGAAGGAACAAAAGACACGGCAAATGTGCGCCTTGGTGGACTCCGGAATGCAAGCTGGCTCACACGGAATATCGTGCAGCAGTGACTCCGGAACAGCGATGGATACATTCGAAGAAGCTGCGCTCAACCCTCAGAGCGGCAAGGAAAGAGTACCAGACGCGTCAAGTCGAAGCGATCACGACACCAACTGATGTGTTCAAGCTGATGCGCTCGGCCGAACCAAGGCAGGCAAGCACCCCCCCTCCACTTAACCACGAAGGGAAGGTGTACTCCGATCCGGCCGAGCAAGCAGCGGTACTCCGGGATGCTCTTCTGGCACGACACCAAGCGACGGACGACCTACCGCCACTCGATGCGCCGAGTACCAACCGAATCCCCTGGAACGACCATGTCTCGGACGAGGAGATTCGCATGTGCACCGTAGGCTGCGCCAACACAGCGCCTGGAGCAGACGGGATCTCTGTTGAGCTTCTGCGAACATGTTGGAAGACGATTGGACCATTTGTCGGCACTCTCTTCCGCGCCTGCATCAGACTCGGCACCCACCCATCCTGCTTCAAGCTGGCTGAAGTGGTGCTCCTACGTAAGACGAACCGAGATCCAACGACTGTCAAGGGCTGGAGACCGATCGCACTTCTGTCATGCTTGGGTAAGGGACTGGAACGACTCTTGGCGAAGCGGATGGCCCATCTCGCGGTTACGCTCAACGTTGTCGGAGACCAACAATTCGGAGCGCTCCCTAAGAGGTCGGCAAACGACCTTGTCAACTGCGTAGTCCACGACATCGAAGAGGCAAGCACCCAGGGATGGGCGGCCACATTCACGACTCTCGATGTCCAAGGCGCATTTGATGCAGTACTCCACAACCGTTTGGTGAGGAGGATGCAAGAGCAGGGGTGGCCAGACTCGATTCTTCGATGGACGGCTTCATTTCTTGCACATCGAAAGGTACAAGTCCGATACTCCGGAGGGGTAACCGGGCAGAGAGAGCTGGTTTGTGGGGTTCCGCAGGGATCACCAATATCGCCACTTCTCTTCCTTTTATACATGGCAGAGCCTATGCGAAGCGGCAACCCAGGAATGAGGTTCAGCTACGCAGACGATGTCGGGATCCTAGGGTTCGGGCGCAACATTGCTGAGTCGGCCGCTTCTGTACAGAAGGAAGTGGATCATCTTCTGGAGTGGGCAAGTAACAATGCAGTCTCCTTCGATACTAACAAGTCGGAGATAGTCCAGTTTCCCGGCAGGAAACGCGAGAATCCGGTGGCTATTCGTGTGAACGGCGTGGTTATCGAGCCAGCAGACCAAATACGCTGGCTTGGAATACACCTAGACCCGCGACTGGACTTTAAACACCACGTCACAACTTGGTGTGTAAAGGCATTGAAGGTTGCCCAGCACATGCGCCGTTTCAACTCAGCGTATCGAGGAGCCGCTCCTGCGGCACTGGTTCGAGCAGTGGATACTTGTATTGTCCCAATAGCAACTTTTGGATCAGATGTTTGGTGGCCCGGCCTCAAACGCCCGACCATTAGGGGAATCATCACACCTCGAACCAGCATCTTCTGCGAGATGATTGACAAGGCAATCTTGACAGGACTGCGCGCTGCCCTCCCGGTAATGAGAACGACATCGAATCTTGTTCTCCATCGCGAAGGAGGTATCCCAACTGGAAAGATCATTCTGGAAGGGAACCGCTTACGGCTTTCGGCTCGACTGCACTCACTAGACAACCGACATCCGCTCCGGACTCGTGCCGCCGTGTGTCCAAACGTTGGAACACGGAAGTACAAGAAGTCTGCTCGGGTACCCAAGAATCCGGGGATCCAGATGTCACGAGTACAGCGGGCCTACCGTCAACTCCCGGACGCGGAAGACGCCGAGCCTCTGCCGCCGCCATGCTATTCTTCGAGCTCTGGCCCAAGGAAGGAGGAGGAGGAAAAGGCTACTCGGTTCCTTGGAGAAGTACTAGCATCGGATATTTGTGCTTACCCGGATGGATCGTCGGAGGGACATGGTCGCTCAGCATGGGGGTTCGTCTTGAAGAGAGATGGAAAAACTCTGTTGAAGGGATGCGGTATCAAGCATGGTGGTGAAGTGCTCGATGCGGAAATACTAGGGGCGAGGAAGGCCCTGGAAGCTGCGCTGGGATTGTTGGAGAGGGAGAATAGTGGAAGCGACGGCAGGCGGCGGATCAACGTGTTGACGGATAGTCAGTCTACAGTGAAGGCACTGCTGACGGGAACTGCCACAACAAGTTTCGACGACGTGCGCCAATTTAGAGCGTTATCAGAAAAGGCTCGAGTCTCGGTCCAGTGGATACCAGCCCACTCCGGGATACAGGGAAACGAAGAGGCCGATAGAGCTGCACGCTCCGGCCTCCGACAACTGCCAAGTAAAGAGAGCCAGCCTGGCTCCGTCACGTTGGCGTACGTTCGTCGGCTCATGAACCGGAACAGGCAAATGCTTCTTGACGACTGGTGGGAAGAAGCGTGTCCACCTAGATATCGTAACCTGGGTCTTCTCATGCGACGACGCAAGCCACGCGAGCTGGCACTTTCCCGGCGGCTACTTCGTAAACTGATCTCAGCCCGCACGGGACACGGAAACTTCGCCGCATGCCATCGTCGTTTCAACAACTTCGCCGCTTCCATGGAGTGTGCGTGTGGAGAGGAAACAACGCCTCTCCACTTCATTCACTGTCGACTGCACGCACGCCAGACGCGTCGACTACGAGGTACAATGTCACATCACGACTTTGTCCACAAGCTCCTCGGGCCTAAGTGTCTCGAGAACTTTACAAAATTTGCGCAGGAAACCGGCTGCTTCGGGGGCCCACCTGCGACTCCGTCTCCAGCTCTCAGCGGAGACGGTGGCAATTAGTCATAGCACGATGTATGGCAGGTAGGAAAATGAGACCAGAAGTGTCAGTTTCCAACCACAAACAGGAGTATGGGATTTGGAATTTTGGTTATGGGAGTCTGTGTGGGCATTTATTTTCTTTATTATAACTAGCTACTTTTTGTGTAGTGAGTCACGCGGTGAGACCGAGTCGGGTATGTGGGAAGCATGATCTCGGCCGTGTACACCGGTCTTTGACTCCTAGGAGATATAGAGCTTAGCTTAGGACCTAAAAATAAAATCAATCAATCAATCAAACAAACAAACAAACATAATTATACTTGGAGGACGAAGGCTGAAACCCGTCAGTGGTGTCCCACACCAACCTGAGAGTGAAATATTCTCCCAGAGCCGAGATTCAGTCACGAAAAAGGGTGAATTTGAGAGTTTTCGTCGAGTTGGCGATCGGGAGGAGTGGTGTTGGCTCATTTTTGGTCGAAAATCCGACTTGCAGAGATTTCACGACTGCACAACTCAAAGAAATCAACCATCTACACCCCATATACGAACAACAGACACCTTCAACATCTTATTTTCTTTTTCTCTGGAAAATCATTCCCAGCCAAACTCATCTCGCGGCCCTCGCCACAATCATCTCACCACCTACCGAAGCAATCCCATACCTCCAAAAGCCAAATCGCCAACAAAGAAGCAAGAGGATTTCCGACCCTCAGCAACTGCCAGTCGCTGTGAAGATACGGTCGAAATACCGGCCTTGAATGAGCACCCACCTCGACCATGGGCACCAACAACTCGACCTGCGCCGAGTTTCCACCGACGAAATACTTACGACATTTCGCCGGCACACCAACTAGAGCATTCGACAAAGGCTGGGGCACCGGTGCCTCGGTCTTGAGCTCTCAGTCGCGTTTTCGACCTCCACGGTTAGGGGTACGGCAGCGACGGGGCAAGGCCGGAGGGGTGGATATTCAACAAAGTTTATGGGATGACGAGGCTGGCTAAAGGACAAAGGGATGCTATATGAAGGAACCAAAAGGGAATACAAACTGAGGAGGCCTTAGTGGGCGACTGGATGAGGCCTCCAGTGAAGTAAACGACCCCAGGATGAGATGAGTAGATGCTGATATAAGCTAAAGCTAGGAATGAAGCGAGGGGAGAATTTATAGATGGCGAAAGTGTCAAGGGCTCGGGTGCGTGTTGGTCAAGGTTGAGGAGGAATTTGCGCTTCGGCGCGCCAAAAGGGGGTTTCTGGACGATTGGGCTTTACATGATTCAACACATGGGTGAAGTCTGAGGTGGTCCGGTCATTTAAGTGGGACGAGGAACTTGTACTTTACGGTAGTTAACCTGATCCAGCCCGGCCCCACCCGTGCCTAAGCTCCAGCAGGAGTGCAGCGGTAGTCACTTTATGTCAAACAGATTACCCTAAGCTTAAATGTTGTCTCATGATGTTTAAGTTGTGTAGTTTACAAGCAAGTAAACTGGGCTGATGCATCAAGGGCAATAACTTAGTCATGCAAATGTTACAATTAGCGACTAGACGGATGGCCAATTTCATACGCACAACTCCCTTGTTGTTTCACTCCTTCTATTGCCCATGATAATGTAACAGCCAATCTTAGACCCATGTATGGAACAGAGATTTGAGCAGTTCGTATTGGCAATCTAATATTCAGTTTATATTTGGAATTAGTAGGATACTCAAGATGTATATAGTACCTAGATAGATTCCTCACGGGAGAGACAATCAATTCAATAAACTCTGAGAGAGATTCATATTAGTATAACTTTGCTCAACACTTTACCTAGCACGTAAATGAACAAACCAAATACATACACTCCGGGACATAAATTCGCATAGTTTTGCGCTTAAACTTGTTCAGCACAATGAAATTGATATCCTTCTAGTTCAAGAGCCTTGGAATTTAAGAGACCTTGCTACAAGACAGTCGATATCGCACCCTAATTTCATGTGTTTCTCGTCCCTTTCTGAAAGGCACTCGCGTCCTAGGGCCCTGATTTACGTTCGAAAATCGCACGAGCTTGACCCATGTCAGACCGCTGTAGATATCACTTTTAACTGTGTACAAATTGCTGTTGAAGGGGGGCGTGGAAGTAAAATAATTATATGGAGTATCTACAGCCCCCTGGCCAACTGCACAGGTGCTGGAGACGGTCTGAATCTAGTCTAGAACACCACAGACTCGCTTGACTTCGTGGGCCGCGATTTAAATCTGAGACATACAGCCTGGGACTCGTATTTCACTTATAATTTCTGGAGGTTACAGCACTGAGAGGCTGGGCTGGGGATAAGAACCTAAGTCTCCTCAAGCTGACAGACGTTTCGATCCATAGTAGGGGAGTTACTTTTGACCTCGCTTTCCGTTCTATCGAGGGCGCGAAATGTGAACTCTCGTCTGTACTGAATACAACATCTTATCACGAAACTTTGTTCACAACCATCTTGGTCTATGGAGACCTAGCAGAAGGCAGAAAAGGGTGACTACGCTACAGCTCCCTTAATAAAACCCGCTTTAGGGCTCTATTAGGCGGCAAGCGGGACCCACCTTCGCTGGAAACTACATTGGACATAGAAACTAAAGCTGGATATATCATTCAAGCCATACAGACAGTCTTGCTTGAGTTCTGCCCCCGCGACAAGGGCAAATATCGAGGAACTGTCTGGTAGGAAGAAGAGTGTATTATTTATCCATTTATGACCTATTTGAGTTTCCAACTATCCAGGACAGACTTTTTAAATACAACTTTTCTTTTTCACTCTAATTGGGGGTTTCCTTCATTTGATTGTGGGATCGCCATTACTGGTTCACCAGGGGGAAAGAAGAGTGTAGAAAGGCTGCAGGTTGATATAATGCGGCTAGAATTTAAGGTAGGTCCGATTCGGAGAAACGGAAATTTCGGAATGCTTTTGTGTGTGTGTTTATTGTGCTACTTGAGTCTATGACTATCTAGCACATTGGGCTCCTCTCTGACCCAGGCTACACCTTGGACAGTGCTCCTGTCCTCTTTTGTTACTTAAAAGATCATTGATGTAATCCCCTTGATGAATAGCCATTCAGCTCAGTGTTTACCCGTGGAATTCGGCCACCTTTTCCACGGAACCTTCTACCCAAAAAAAAAATATAAAAAAAAAAAGATAGCAATGGAAACTGTGTGCGGGGGAAAAAGTCTCAAAAGACCTGCAGGCCCAGCCAGGCGAGGCCTAGACACCGGGGCCACATGAGGTGCGCATATTCATCTATATCTCCCTTCTTTGTAACAGATGAGGTCTTTTATTTTTTTTTAATCATTTAATGTGTATTCAGCTATCTAGCTACGACACATGACCGGTGCTATGTATACACGTTGGATGACTCTTTTGACGTTAGAGACACTCATACTCTGGATTTCGTTCGCAAATACCACTATGAGGTATGCTTGCTTACACAAACGGTTGACCCTCCTCCGTTAATACCCACCAAAGGGAATTTCGAAACCTTTGGTTATCCAAGCATGCCTTCGTCATCCATGCATACCAGCGCCGCGAGAAATGTGATTGTGTTTTGCCGGATTCGAACCAGCGATCTACTGTCTCAAAAGGGATATGTGTCCAAGCTATCCAGACTCTACTTGGCAGACCGGCCAAGACGATGTACCACCGCACCATCCAACCATGGCGGTGTTTATAGTGTCGCCTGCACTCTCGCAACCGAAGTCTTGGCACGCACAAAACTCAATTTGTAAAAACTCCTTTCCAAGTTTCAAAATTCCATGCCCATCGAGACTGTATCCATCCTTCGCATCATCTTGTCAACTTGTCCTGCATCCTCTCACGTCCATCCCAAAGAACAGTCTCCCAGATTTGTGCGCCACGCTTTGCTTCCTCCGTTGGGTGTAAATATCGGCGTGGGCGTGTATTTGGTGACAGGCTGAGGCCAGAGAAGGTCGGCGAGAGGTGTGGTCATTGGAATGAGGATGTACTAGGTCGTACTTGTAAACTTGATGAGGCTTAGGTAGGATTCGATCTTTTTTGGAATGAAAATTTGACGTGGAGTTATTTGAATCATTGCCTCGGGCCAACTTGTTCGGTATTGCGAAATTTGACTGAACTTGGCTCTGGGAGAATATTTCACTCCCAGGTTCGTAGAGAGCACCACTGACAGGTGTTCAGTCTTGCCCTCCACAGATGAGGTCAACTTGATCCAATCCACCATCTCCGCATCGGGTACTGGGTACGCTCCAGAATCTCATCGGATGGCTTTTCTTCTATGATCAAGGGTTGGTGATGAGTAGGGCTCTGACTTTACCATCTGATCTGATCGTGGTTAGCTTCATCATAATGGTGATAGAGGAATGTGTTGAGAGATGAAGACGATACAGATCGTGGAAGCTATTGGGAATCTTCATTGAAGTGAGGACTTTGTTACTCAATCTCGGATCTGCAGACTCTACAGTGAGAGCTGGAGGTTCGTAGGGGACACCACTGACAGGTGTTGAGAATAGTCCCCCTCGGAATGCTTTTATATGGACCAAAAAATAATTCTGAAAGGCTTGTATTGAGAAGTCAGAGTCCCTAAAAGATTTGTACAAAGTAGTAAATTGGCACAACTCTGCCCCATCTTTTCAACCCCCAGCATTCAAGGGAGATGACGGAATCGTTAACATATATTACCCGAAACAAGAAGCTGCTCCCATTCGTATAGTGCTGCTTTCTCGACTCATAGAAGCCTTAAATATAATTCCAGAGGCATCGTCTATTGTAAGGAGGGCTATATCTTGGCATCAGTTCACCGAGGAGAGGGCCTTTTGAGCTATCTATCAGGCAACTTTATCCTCATCTGGAATAGATAAAATAGTAACCCCGATTTTTCGAGAAGCATGGCTAATTAAAGGACGGCGCATCACGGGCTTATTTAAGAAACATGCTCCATTATGGGGTACACCCACGAGGCTTCAAAGGGGCTGAAATATTCGCCTTGCGTTACAGGCTAATGCTTCATTAATATAACCGGAGTCTATCCGGTTCATTTATTGAGAAGTCTTCGAGTACAAGGCTTGGCTAGATTAAGCAGTTGTGTAAAGCATAACTTATGCATAAATCCATACGCGACGCGCGATATTGAGAAGATAAGCATGTAATCTGCGCAATTATTCTTAAAAAAGTATATAACTCAACTTACGACACACTTTTGCGAAAGCTAACTTGATCAGTCCCTTCACATCTTGCCAAATATGGAGAAGCAGAACCGCATTTAGCCGATATCATGTCGCTCGATAGCTCTTCTAAGCTGCATAGGAAAAAGTCTGAATGCCTTTTCGCAAGACGATTTTCATCCTAGGCAACAAAATGCAAAATTGTCGCCAGAGATCAATGCAGTACACTTAGCGGGCGTTGTGTAACAGATCTAGCGACTGCACTGCTTTGTGATACGAAAGACGCACTTGCGGCAGGCAAAGTTGCTGGTATGGTTACCGTTGATGTTAAGGGGGCGTTCGATGGAGTCATACTGAACAGTCTTCTTAACCGATGTAGATCTCAAGGCTGAGCGGAAACATCATTAATTGAGCCAATTCCTCTATGTAGGATCTAATAGCCAGAGTGCGAATTGATCAGATAATCTCAGACCCATTTCGGCTCCTATACGAGCTGCCTCGAGGATTCCCGGCTTCACCCTTTTTTTCTTCACATGGAAACAGCTCTACGGACATCAACGAAGCAATATAGATATGTGGATGATATAACAATGATGGAATCAGCTCCAAATTTTGAAGAGTGCAGTCAGAAGTTGCAGGTAAGCCTAGAATTGACGCTGCAATGGGGACCTGAAGATGGCGTGTAATTTGAGAACGCGAAGACTGGAGTATAATATTTTCGCCACAAAATGAAACACACAGAACCTCCCCTCTTAGTAGAAGGAGATGTAATAATACCGAACGAATATACGAGGCAGCTTGGAGTAATTTGCGAGAGGAAACTTACATTCAGAGAACATGTACGCAGAGCCTGCCGGCGATGCTGGATCGTATGTTACGGGATTAGTTCCTTGGGCTTGTACTGCCTACGCCAGTACGGCAGAGATGGCCGGCAAAGTCTAATTCTTCACCTTCCAGTGGTGCCGGTGTAAACGCTCAGTATGATCTAGATATCTGGGATAGCCAAGAAGATTCGCATCTAAATCGAAGTCGAAAGCAACTTCAAGCATATCTCCATTTGACGACTTCTCGACAATGCCTCTCTTGTCCTTCTCATCTGAGTCCTCAAGCTCTCTCTAATTACGCGTCATCTCGCCTTGGTGACCAATAAAGAAGTTGCTCCATTTGCAAACAGGAGCTTGCCCCATTAATTTACAACCATCTCTGACTATAAATTTACGACGCTATTTATAACTACAAGGAGTAAATCGAGTCGAAAAATACAAAGCCTTGGTCCTGGCTTATGGGGGACTGTTGCTCTAATGGGACAAACAACTTGAGGGAGAACAAGTAGCTGAGATGTGGAGAGAGAGGGGGGAACAGGTCTCTGAAGACTATGCCGGGACCGATATTATCGAAGGATTTTTTATTGAAATGTATAACCCACTACTTAGTTCGTGGACTTATTGGTAGAGGGAAGCTTATGCAATAATGGAGGATAAAAGGATGTCGATTCGACTACTCTTCTAAGCACAGCTGCCAGACTCTTTTTAATCCCAATAGATAGTCCTGCGGGATCTCCTATTAACAGCAGTCGACAACGCTAACACAGGGTATTCGTAATCTCCGTTCGTCAAACACCTGTCGGTCAGGACTACTAATTATCGAGCCTAGTAGCATCGACAAGGTGTATCCCAACATAGAAATAATAGTTAACTCAACAACCAAACCCTTCATCAATAACTGCCATTAACCATGACTTGACTTATCTCTGTACTCCATAAATTCAACAGTTTTCAAACTTGGAACGTTTGTGGGCGCCAAGACCAAGATTTAGGCTAACTAGCCAGGAGGGCTTCTATTGTCGATTAGCCGACGGCACTCCATAGAGCCCCGGATGGCGCAAAAGAAGTTGGGCCATGTTACTGTATAGCAATCATACTCTGTCAAGACCTTCCTGACATTTCAGCACGGCCTTCGGGAAGGAGTTGGAAGGAGGCTAGAAAGGCAGAGGGTGAATTCTCCGAGGTACCCACAAGTCTGCAGCGTCCAGCTGGCC